ATGAATAAAATTAATTAATAAATTTCAATTAATATTTATTAATAATTAATATTTAGCGATATTTATCTATAATTAATAGTAATAAATAACAAATAATATTAATCAGGGTTATAATAAGAAAAAGTACCAAAAATCTCGTAAAACGCTACTCCAACTAGCGTTTCAATAAGCTAGCTTATGTCCATCCAAATGGAAACTCAAAGAATAAGCTACCCTATGTCTGCCAAACAATGCCTTATGTTGCATCTCAACTTCTGTTGCATCACTAAGTCATCGACAGACAAAATCCACACTCAAAGTTGTGTTATTCATCATAGCAACTAATTATAAATTCTTGAAATCAGCATGAGAAATGAAGAACCGATGCAACAGGAGCCACTGTACCTTTTAGCTATGAACATACTGCACATTGTAACCTTTTATACTCAATAACTCACAGTAGCAGATTTAGCTTCACAATATAACATAATAAAATATATTTACATTTTACTACTGATAACAACTCATGCTCCAGAGATACCATAAACTTAGGGTAAAAGAACAAGTGCACATTTCACAACCAACGAATATATGAGGAGATGACAAAAAACAACTGCATGCCAAGAGTAAGTGCTAACAAATTGCAAACTGAGATGTGGAAGAATTCATGTATCAGGATGAAAAAACTTGTCAACACATGCAAAGTGTTACCACTGTTTGTTAAGTTGGTTGGCGCTGACCAAGGAAAACTCACCGAAGAGAAGCATATACCCATTCTGATGTTTTGAACTGAAGTTAAGTGGGTCTACTCTGAAAAAATGATCAAATTATAGTACGATAGGTTAGAATATGTATACAAAGAACCATAACAGTATATCAGTATATACAAATTACCAGAATAAAATAACTTATTGGCAATAGAACTTTCACCAACTCCTTCGACCTCCACTTCACCACCCAAAACACAAGTTGATAATAATGCTAAGAATTGTAACCCTATCCCTCCTGATCACTTCCCGCATAAGTAACACATGTGCAATGCAAGTACATATAATGGGGGATAACAGGAGGGAAGACTGATCGGATCGGATGTATTTTAAACCTGAAACGCATATTCCAATGTAATGACAGAGAGTTGCAGGCAGAGATTTAGAATCCTAATGCTAAATTGAAAATCTCAGTTGAAAAGGCATCAGAGAACGATAAATCAGAAAAGATCACAAATTTTATTGACAAACACTCTCAAAGTTCAATCACTTAAGCTCGTAATGCGAAAGCAACAAATCCTGACATATTTAATTCTATAGCCTATAAGAGCATGAACTTGAACTGGCAATACCTAGTAAACTTTTAACTCATAAAATTGGCTCAACAAGATGCCGATTAGAAATCGAGTCATCGATTTTCTTAGAGGAACTTCCAATTCTTCTTGTTTGCAATAATGGTAGACTAGTTAAAAAGCGAGTCTAATAGCAAACATAACGCCCAGAGTTGGTCATAGATGTAATAGGATCGATGAAAACAGATAACCTGGGAATTGAGCTTGTTCGGCGATGATTGAAGTCAGTTGATTACAAACCCTAAACAGAATGGAGAGCAGCTGGGTAGGGAAGAAGTAGCGGAGACTTGTTCAACAGAGGAGACAAGAAATTTGGCAGGATAAAGATGCGGAAAATTTACACTCTCGTCGTTTATTTGGTAGGATAAAGATACCTCAACTTACCATTTCTGTCAAATTATATAGAGAGAGAAACACAAACACAAACACAAACACAAACACAGCACATCAAGTTGGAACCAATATACCATTCAACAACCAAAACCTGAATAATTGCAATTTTTCATACCTATATTTTCTTTATTTTAGCCAATTGAGTGCACTTTTTTGGAAATTCACTTAAATAACCATCTCACTAAATTGATTTCATTTTTTATATACTTTAGAAAAAAATTTCCTTAAAGAATCAATAAAACTTTACGTATGTTTCTACGTAAAACTTGTTTAAGACAAAATAACAGAAAAAAGTAATTTATCGTAAGAAAACGAGACTCATGCAGAAACTTCCTTTACCTGCATAAAGTTTCTCATTAAAAATATTTAACACTTTATAATTAGTTATTTAATTTATTTTACATTCATTACTTTTTTATTTTTTATTTTACACATTTCTTATATTAACGCACATAATTATATATTATCTAAAATATATGAAAAATATT